ATGACTTGCCCTACTCATACAGGTAATAAACTCTGAGTTTAGACTTGAACCCATGTCTGTTTGACTGTATTTTTCACCAGTGTAATACATGGCCTTTAAACACTATCAACTGTGTGTAAACTTTGCAGAGCGCTGCGACCACGTGGTCATTATTTTTGGCAGGCAGGTGAGGTCAGACCTAGGAGGCAGTGTGTGCCAGTGGTTAAGTGCTTTGCCAGGTGGGGCACACTGACCCTAGTCTGAATCTTAGTTCTGCTGGATTGCTAGCTGTGTGACCTTGGCAAAGTTTCTTAGCCTATCTGTGCTTTGGTGTTTCCATTGGTAGAATGGAGTAATCACAGTATCTTCTTGTGTGGTGGCTGTGAGAAAGAAAAGAATTAAGTACAGTAAGGCACTGTGCACAGTGCCTGCCACTTGGTTAAGGCTCAATATGTTATAAATCAAATTACTTCAATAAAAAAACAAAAACAAACAAAACCCCCAATGAAATAAATGTTTAAATGAGAAGAATAGAAAATTTAATTCGTGTTTAACCAAGTTTAAGAATAGGGGCCTTAAACTATTATGTAGATACATCTGGATTCTGTGCTATAATTTGGAAAGGAAGACTGAAAAAAAAAGGCTCAGAAAATGTGTTCTCAGAAACTAGGTGTTTTATTCCCAGTTTGGTATTCCTTTTTTTTTTCAAATACTGTTTCTTAAATTGTGAAATATAACAAATACACAAAATTTATGAAATACAAATATATAATATAAAGGATATTTTTAAAGCAAACATCTCTGTGACTATCCCCAGGTAAAGAACCAGAACATTGCCTACACCCCCAAAATCCTCTGATCCCAATGTCCTCCCTCTGTCCTGCAAGTAACTGCTATCCTGACACTGGTTTACTCATTTCCTTGCTTTTTTACCAATGCTCTTCCAGACAATAAAAGCCTCTGTGACTGCTTCAGAAAGGAGGGGTCTGAGGTCTGCAGGGCACGGTGTCCAGAGGAGAAAGCAGAAAGGAATTCAAGGCTGCTGGGGTGGTACAGGGTCCCTGGCAGCCCCTCCTGAAGCTCTCCCCGTGGCCTGAAGATGAGCAAAGCCAGCTCCCTGCCCTGACACTTCTGACCCTGTGCCCAAATGGGTCCAGTAATGGGCAGCTGGGGGTTGTGTGTGTTGGGGGCGCAGCCAGTGGATATAACTCCCTCCCAGTTAGGCAGGCAGGCAGCCTGGCCTCTGGCAGCTACTGGCTTTGCTCAGCTGCCTCACCCTAGGGAGTTGCTAACCGTCCCCTCCAGCCAGAAGGAGGTGGCCAGAGGTTAAGAATGGGAGAGGCACTGCAGAGCAGAGCTCAGAAGGAAGGAATTGGTGCTGGGGGTGAATACTTCTGCTCTCTGGCCAGGAGCTGTGGACAAAGAGGGCTGCCCCTGGGAGAATTCTGGGCTGCCTACTGCCCTCCCCACCAAACCAGGAATGAAATTTCCCATTTCACACACACCAGCCAACAAAAAACACCTGCTGGTTGCTCTTCCTGGAATGTCTGCTTCCCACTGTTCCTCTGGCCATCCTCTGGCCAATCCTTCAGACCTCGGCTTAGACAGAAATCATCTCTTCTAAGAACTCTCCCCTGACCTTTCCCTGGTCCTGTGGGTTCCTCTCCCATTGCCCCAAGCATCCTCTACTTAATCCATTACCATTCTACCCCTACATCTTTCAAGACTTTATGGACCAGAAACCCCTTTCATGGTGATTTATAATCTTGGGAACCCCTTACTATTGAAAAAATAATTTCATATTATTATGTATGTACATAAGTGTATTAACACATTTCTTTTAATATAAAGAATGGGTAATGCTAAACATTCATTATATCAAGACCATGCATGTGTCCCCAGACCTAGGTCTTTCCCTGAGTCTGGTTTCATAAATGCTGGTGATAAACCAAGTCTGATTTATATAATGCATTTTATGTGGGAAATATCTGCGACTCCAGGTATCTGATCAACCTCGAGAAATGATGGCACAGCTAGAGTTAATAATTTTTGAAGATAAACATTGGTAATTTGATGATTACCAGTTGCCAATAAATGAATCGTAAAATGACTGTGGTTTATTTTCTAGGGGAAAAAAAAGAATGTGTAGCACATTATTTTAAAATAATAAAATGCACAAATACACTTTGCTGTAAATTCCATACAGTGACTTGATTCTCCCAGACTGCTTTAATTGATGTTTGCTCTACTCTGGTATCCATACCCAACGTATAGTTTCAATTCAACCATGTTTTGTCTTTTCTCAATCTAGACAATCAACAAACCAAGTAAAGCCCTGGTTTGCCAGTGTAAATACTCCCGCCTGGGCTGGTTTCAAGCTACAAATGTGACGCCAATGAACACACAGTTGGGAAGAGTTACACAGTAAAGTACTCTACAACAGATATGAGCAACCTTGAGGACATAGATAATAATGAAATAGAGTAAAAGAATTAGGAAATGATGAGTTTTGAATATTTATTTTGAGCTTAATTGTTCACTTATATAATGTGATTTTTTAAACAATGGCTTTAACAATCAGCTTGCAAAAGTCCCAAAAATTTAATAATCTGTTCTCACAGGCCTGTGGGAGGTCACTCCAGCACACAGCTGGACTCACAGCATGAATATATATTTCTTAATATGGTTTGAAGTTTGAAAGAAAACTTCTCTAGAGAAGTACATTTTTTTTTTTTAGGTCTGGGTTTAACCGTGTCTTCAAAAATCTCCAGGGATGAAGCTGTTGCTCGAGTTTCATTGAGCTATTGCTCAAATGGAAGAAACCTGTGTTCCTTCTACAGAAATACAAAGCCTGATGCTTCCAGGAGGTACGTTTTTGATACATCCTCTGGATGATGCCTGGAGATTTTGTCACCCAGCACCCTTCCCCACTTTTCCTGGGGCAGAGGATCAGCATCTAGGGGGACCACTTAGCTAATAATGTCTCCTTGTTCTTAACCATTAGGCAGCTTGCTGGGGAATAACTGAGCACCTGACAATCTTCAGGAGATAAGAGACAGTTTCCGATACTATTTACAAGCTGCCTTCACAATTAACATCCCCAATCATGAAAAGTCCAATTAGTATAATCACTAGCACATTTGCTTTTTTAAATCTAGCTTTTTGAAGAGCCAGAGGCATTTTGCTACATCAAAATTATGATCAGATAAATGCAATTTACAGATATGAAGATCATCTTGAGATGGCTTTAAGGAATTAATAGTTTTATTAGTTCACTGGATCTCTGCATAAGAGATTTTAAACATCAGTCTAGTATAGGCATAAATCAGGCCAAAGCGTGGTAGCTATCCTTGGTTTCGGGACAAGAGATTATTTTAGGCAGCTAAAGATGATGAATATTTCAGTAGACATGCTATTTGTGTAATAGAAGAAATATAACTGGCACATAGAATCTATTATTCCATGGATATTTCTGCTTGGGAGGCTTTCAATAAGAATTTTTATTTGTTTGCTATTACATTAACTTAAAAAAATTTAAGGTAGAGTTGATTAACATGTTGTTCATTTCTGGTGTGCAGCATAGTGATTCAGTTATACATATACATGTATATATTCTTTTTCATATTCTTTTTCATTATAGGTTATTACAAGCTGTTGAATAGAGTTCCCTGTGCTATACAGTAGGACCTTGTTGTTCATCTATTTTGTATATAGTAGTTCATATCTGCTAACCCCAAACTCCTAATTTATCTTTCCCCACTCCTTTCCCCAATAATTATTTAAATTTTAAATGTGTGTTATTTAAAGAAAAATGTTAAACAAATAATAGTATTGGTGGTATATGGACATAGCAAAAACTGTTAACGTGGCTGTAACGGGTTGAATGATGACTTTCTCCCTCCTGTCCCCCTGTCCAAGAAAAAATGTCAGTCTTTGGAACCTGGGAATGTGACCTTAGTTGGAAATAGGGTCTTTGCAGATACAATTAAGGATCTCAGGATGAGACTATTCTGGATTTGGAGTGGACCCTAAATCCAATGACTGGTGTCCTTATAAGGAGAGAAAACACATAGGGACACAGAGGGGAGAAGGCCACGTGAAAACTGAGGCAGAGATTGGAGTCATGCAGTCACAAGCAAAAAAACGCCAAGGATTGCCACCAGTCACCAGAAGCTAGGAGAGAGCCATGAAGGGGATCCTCTTCAGGGCCTCCAGAAGGAACGTATTCCATCAGCAGCTTGATTTCAGACCTCTGGCCTCCAGAACTGTTAGAAAATAAATTTCTGTAGGTTTAAGCCCACACATTATTGGTCATTTGTTATGGCAGCCCCAGGAAACTAATTAAGTGGCAAAGAAACGCCTCAAGTTTGGGAAACACTGAATTAGACACCCAACCATGACTGGGGATGAGAGGGTTTAACTCTATGATAAAAGAGTCAATGGGGCATCAACACCCTCATCTGATCGTCATTAACTGCCAGCGTCCAGCATTTTTGCTCAATACAAATATGCAGGTGTTTTTTAAAGTGAAAATAAATCTAATAACTTAAAATGTAAATATAATAATTATTTTACGCATTTAATTTCTCATGTCCCTACATCTGGACCACCATACTCCACCCTGAGTTCATAACTCTTGGGGAAGAGTCCAGTCTTCCCATTTTACAGATGAGAAAACTAAGGCTCAGATGGAGAAATTGTCTCCAAGAGAGATTAAATGATTCTGGGACCACTGCTCCAATTCCTACTGCGCTACGTTTATTCTTCACCACCTCCAGCAAATATTCCCACAGCTTTTTTTCCCTCCGACCAAAGCAAGGCACAGAGGCAGAGATTCCACCCTGCTTTGCCTGGAGCGTGTGAACCCCGGGGGCGGGATTTCGATAAGGGAAGAATTTGGAGATGGGCGCTGCAGAGGCCACAGGTGGCCACGAGGGGGAGCGCGCGGGCCCGGAGTGCGCACGTTCCTCGGGGGGGGTGGGGCTTGCGAGCGGTGCGCATGCGCCCAAAGGGAGGCGGCGGCGCCGCCCGGACGGAGGGCAAGACGG